CCCCGGGAACGAGCCACGCCCCCTACGGCGTAAACCACGCCCCCACTACTAGTGCGTGGCTCCCCTCAGTCATGCCTCCACGCGCTAGCCACACCCCGGCAGCCTGAGCCCCGCCCACACGGCTCCTGTCACGCCCCCTGCCGCTGGAGTCACACCCCCATCCTTGAATGTGACCTGTTGAGCCCCGCCCCGCGCAAGCCCCGCCCCTATCGCCTGAGTCCCACCCACACGACTCCAGTCACTCCCCCTGTCGTTGGAGTCTCAACCCTATCACTTGAATGTGGCCTACTCAGTGGAGCCACGCCCCCTACGCTCGAGCCACGCCCCTCTATCATCTGAGCCACGCCCCCTACCGCTGGATCTAAACCCAGGCTTCTTGGGACTCTCATCACTTCTTAGATAGGGTACTGGCACGGATTAAAATCCGTATCTCCTCCTGCTACCTCCTGGGATTGGCAGGTTGGAATGCCTGCACCTGGCTTATTAGTTGTGTTGTGGGTCTCCAGAAAGGCTGGCCTCGGGCTGGCTCTGACCCAAGATCTCCCCAACCTCCACCTCCTAAATACTGGATTACAGAGGTAAGCCACCATGCCTGGCCCTAACTCTTTTGAATTCTGTGCTGAGAGTGGAACTCCAGGGCCTCGCACATCTGAAGCAAGAGCCCTACCATTTGAGCCCACTCCTAACGTGACTGTCTATTTAAACGCAGTCCATCTGTCTGCTTAACAGCGCCTCTTGTCCCTTTGGGAGTCTGCTCAGTGCCCCTGCATTTTGGAATCTGCCTCTTCCTTCCTGTGCAAGTGGGACCCATGGAAGCTTAACCTGCAGCACGGCGGGGATGGGGGTCCCAGTCTAGCATTACCCCCACACACACTACTCACCTGTGCAATCCCCTAAACCTGATGTGCTGGCCCCGGACACGTCCTGCTCAAAGGTGGCTCTAAGAGGGACAGAGGGACAGTTAGCAGAGGCCCTCACCCAGTGGAGTGGAGACCCTTGGGGGTCAGGGGTCAGATGCCTCCCCTCTTCTGTACCTGGTTCCTGGACTGAGGAAAATGCAAGAGCCGTCCGGGGCCCATCCACAGTAGGGGTCCTGGCTGCCGATACAGTTCCTAAAGGAGCAATCCATAGTCACCTCAAGGGTCCCACTGTGCTCTGGGCCTTCCTCAGCTCACCCAGGAAGTTAACTGCAGACCTAGTTGCAGAGCCTAGGCAAGCTGGCCTAGAATGTGGGGTCCTGATTTATTTTTTTGGCGGGAGGAGGCTTGGTGCTCACACCAAGCCCAGTGGTGCTCCCTCCACAGCCACCACCCGGATAGAGCTACAAACAGCCTCCATCCCATCCCTACCTCGTTCTCACGCCCAGAGTTCCACCTCCCTCAGAGTCAAAGTCAAAGTCCATCCTGGAGCTCACAGGGTGCTGCACTACCTGTGCCATCCACCCATACCTCCTCCCTTTTCCCTCTCTGCCCCTAGCTCAGCCACATGGGCCTTCATGCTGCTCATGCTGGCCCAGGGCCTTTGCACGGGTTATTCCCTCCCCTTCTCTGTCACCTCCCTTCCTCCCCACCCAGGGCTGGCGGAGGGTGGGTGAGAGCACTCACTTCATGCACCCTGAGTACTGCTGACAGCGGGCCACAGGCACGCGCACCACGCAGCGAGGGAAGGCCGCCAGCAGGCCGCCCGAGGCCGCGTCCAGCTCCAGGCTCAGCAGGCGCTGCCCCGTCTCTCCACTGCTGCCGGGTCGTCCGCACCTGGGCACCCCAGACAAGGAGGAGTGAGCCCCGGGCTCTCCGCCTGCAGGCCCACCCTCCCCAGCCATGCCTGGCCTCACCTGTCCGGCCGGTAGGTCTCAAACTCCTCCAACAAGACACTGGGTCCCGCGGTCCCCGAGTGGCTGGCATTGGGCCGGACCAGGAACTTGAGGACCGTGCCTACCTCAGAGCCCAGGAAGACCACCGTCTGGTTGCCCCAGGGCCCGGCGCCCACGTCCACAGCCACCCGGGTTAGCGGATGCCTGCGAGTGGAGAGAGGGGCGGGAGGGGGTGTCAGGTCGGCCTCTCTACTCTCTGAGGCCTCCTGGACACCGAGTCCACCCCCCCTGCGTGGTTACGCGAGTGCACTTGGACAAACGGGGCCCCCAGAGAGGTGAGCTGAGCTGAGCTACATGTGACCCCCGGTAGGAAGTGCACACTCGCCACCACACAGCCTGCGCCGGGCCCCTAGCCTGGACTTGGCCCACTGCGGGCACCTGCTCCTGTTCCGCCAGGCCACGCCCCATTCTGACGAGGCCACGCCCCACAAGCCTGGTCCACCCACCCAGGCCCCACCCACATTCTAGCCAGGCCCGCCCATGCCCCGCCCCTTGCCCCTCAGACCTGCCCCTGCCCCTAATGAAGCCCCACCCACCAGCACTGCCGGCCTCAGGGCCCGTGGGGGTGTGACCTGAGAAGTCCCCGCCCACCACAAGGTCCAGCCCCCACTTAGACAAGGCTCCTCCCCTTTCCCCATCTTTCTCTAGTTTGTCAGTTGTGGGTCTTGGACTCAGGGCCTGGGCACGGCACCTGAGCCTCTTTGCGCTCAAGGTGAATGCTCTACCACTGGAGCCACAGCTCCACTTCTGGTTAATTGGAGATAAGAGGGGGATTTTTCTGCCCGGGCTGGCTTCGAACTTCGATCCTCAGATCTGTTTCCTGAGCAGCCAGGATTACAGGCGTGAGCCGCCGGCACTTGGCATCTTCCCCCTGTACACGGCCCCTGCCCCACCCTACTTAGACAACCCCTGGCCAGGGCTCAGAGCCACTGTCCACCTCCGGCCCCGCCCCCAGCCTGGACCGGCTCAGGCTCTGCCCCCCACGCTGATGGCACTAGACTGCGGGAATCCGGGGCGTGGCTTAGCAAAGCCACGCCCACCGCGCAGGATAGGTCTGCCCACACTTCACATAGCTCCCTCCCGTTAGGCCCCCGGCCTGTCCCTCACAAGGCCCACCCGTTAGCCCGGCCCCGCCCCCAGCGAGGCCCCGCCCACCAGCGCTGACCGCATCAGAGTGCGCACGATCCAGGGGGCGTGGCCCAGCGAAGGCACCGCCTCGTCCATCAGCGGGTGCGTCTTGACGAAGTTGAGGATGTCGTCGGGCAGCGCGCTGGACGCGTTGTACTGCGAGCCGGGCGCCGCGCAGCAGCCGGGCCTGGGGGGGCATGAGGCCAGGGACCCACAAATGAGCCCTGGCCCCCGGGGACCCTCCGCTGGCCCCAGGTCGGGGGGGTGACACCTCTGTCCCCCCCCGTTTGTGACAGGCTCGGCTGCTCTGGGCAGTGGCTAGCCGCCCCCCGGCCCGCGCCGGGCCCTCACCTCGGCCTGGGCACCTGCTCTTCTGGCACCGGCGTCCAGATGGACTCTGGGGACTTCTGCTCGCGGAAGCGGCCTTCAAACACCGCGGCCACCTGGGTCATGTCGAAGGCACAGACCGCAGAGCCCGGGATGCTGCGGGGGGTCGGAGGTGAGCTTGTGGGGGGGGCAGCACCATGGTCCCTGACCTCAGGGCTGCCTGCCAGGTGTTCCCTTCCCTGCACCAAAGATAGCCCCTTGTTCCTCCTCTCACCTGCCCAGGGCCCTGTCAGCTTCCTCCCGAACCACCTCATGTCCAGGCACCCATATTTGAATGTCCAGCCTCCCATGGCTACTTGTCTCACAAACCCACTTATCAGGGGATGTTATGAAAACACAAACCTGACTTTGTCCCTCTCCCGCCCCTTGCTCCCCAGCTGCTCCTCCACCCACTGCCACCACATTCCCCCACTCCTGCCAGACCAGCTACCTCACACAGACTTAAAACACCCAACTCAGCCTCAGGGCCTTTGCACAGGCTACCTATCCTCCCAACTTGGAATGATCTTCTGTCTTCTTCCATCTCACATCACAGTCTGGTCCCATGTCTCTCCTCTCCCCTCTGCATCCCCCGCCACACACACTTCTGGAAGGTCCCTTTTCCTGAGGATGAAGTCCCACCTGCCTGTCTACTTCTGACCAAAGGAAGTCAGAGAGTTTCTGCCCCCTTGTGGCTCCTGTGGCCACTGGCTGACCTGTTGCTGGGAGTAGAGAAGACAGCCAGGATGACAGGCCGGCCCCCCAGGCTGACCACCCCCGTCACAGCCTGCAGCACGTTGAAGTAGAAGTGGGAGTCCCCTGGCACAGAGCAGTTGAGCCGCGCCTTCAGGAATGACGTCCACTGCTTCTCTAGCACACGCGGGGAGCCCCCCACATCGTTCTTGCACACTCGGGCCACGCGGGACACCACCACCTGGCCAAGATAGGGGTCAGAGGGCAACGTGAGTGAGTGTCACAGACCACACTGCCCACCATCTAGGCTGGGCTGACCTTCCCAAAGCCCCACAAAGGACAGCCGTATCCTCATTGCACATATGGGAAAAACCATGAAGGGAGATGAGCAGGGCAAGGTTCCAGGAGTGGTAAGTGCACAAGTCTGCATTCATGGCTGAGGGGCTGAGGGACAGGTAGGGTGGGGGTGATGGGGAGACAGCATGCGGGGTGCAGGGAGGGAGGACCTGAGGAGGGAGGATGACAAGGAAACAAGGAGAGAGGTGGATGGATGGATGGATGGATGGATGGGTAGAGGGTTGAATGGCTGGGTGGACAGCTTGATGGATGGATGGATTGAAGGTTTTAGGTGGGTAGATGATTGGATGATGGATGGAAAGATGGATGGGTAGAGAGTTGGATGGCTGGGTGGACAGATTGATGGATGGATGGGTAGATGGATGGATTGAAGGCTTTAGGTGGGTATATGACTGGATGGATGGGTAGATGGGTGGATGGATGGGTGGGTGGAAGATGGCTGGCTGGATAAATGGGTGATAGATGGATGGACAGACAAGATGGATGGATGGTTGTAGGGTGGATGGCTGGATAGACAGATGGGTGGACAGATGGGTAGACAGATGACCAGATGGACAGATAGATGGATGAAGGGATGGCTGATGGATGGCTGGACATATGGATGGATGGGTAGATGGGGTATGAGTGGACTGGTTAGCATGCTGGTGGGTTTTAGGTTGCTGGATGGATGGTGGATGGGTGTGACGGGTGGGTGGGTGGAGCTGCAGGTGTCAGAACGGAAGAGGGTGAGGGCGTTCTGGGAAGATGGTCAGACTGTGGATGAGGAAGAGCGAGGGGGTGGCCAGGGTCTGGCTGTAGGGCACTGGGGCTAGGCACCCTCTGGTCTGCCGGGGAGCAGAGCCTCACCTTCTCCAGGTAGTTAAACTCCATGGCGATTTCCCGGAAGAAGAAGTAGACGTGGCTGCCCCACTCCACCGCATGGACAAAGTAGGGCTCTGTGGGAGAGGAGGTCAGAGCCGGCCCCGGCATCACCAGGGGGCTGGGTCGGTTTTATGGTCAAAGGGGGATCTAGGCTGGCTTCTCTGCAATATGAACAAGTTTGCTAATTTGCCGGTACCAGTGGCTCACGCCTGTCATCTTAGCTACTCAGGAGGCTGAGCTCTGAGGATCGCAGTTGGAAGCCAGCCCAGGTAGGAAGGTCTATGAGACTCTTATCTCCAATTAACTACTCAGGAAAAGCCAGAAGTGGTGCTGTGGCTCAAGTAGCAGAGCGAGTGCTAGCCTTGAGCACAGAGGCTCAGAGACAGCATTTGGACCTGAGTTTAAGCTTCAGGACTGGCAATAAATAAATAAAACTGCTTTCTTTCTTTCTTCCTTCCTTTCTTCCTTCCTTCCTTCCTTCCTTTCTTTCTTTCTTTCTTTCTCCCCTCCCCACCCCCCTTGAACTCTGGGCCTGGGCACTGTCCCTCAGCTCTTCAGCTCAAGGCTAGCACTCTACCACTTGAGCCACAGCACCACTTCCCATTTTCTGGTGGTTAATTGGAGATAAGAGTCTCGTGGACTTTCTTGCCGGGCTGGCTTTGAACCACGATCCTCAGATCTCAGCCTCCAGAGTAGCTAGGATTATAGGTGTGAGCCATCCAGTGCCCAGCATTTGTTGCTGTTTTTGTTTTGTTTTCTTTTTGTCTTTTTTTGTTTTGTTTTGTTCATGGGGCTTGATCTCAGGGCTTAGGTACTTTCTCTGAGCTCTTTTGCTCAAGGCTAGCACTCTACCACTTTGAGCTACAGCACCACTTCTGGTTTTCTGTTGGTTCACTGGAGATAAGAATCTCAGGGTCGGGGCTGGGAAGGTGGCTCAGTGGTAGAGCGCTTGCCTTGCAATGCATGAGGCCCTGGGTTCGATTCCTGAGCACCACATAAGCAAAAAAAAAAAAGAATCTCAGGGGCTGGGAAGGTAGCTCAGTGGTAGAGCGCTAGCTTTGAGCTGAAGAGCTAAGGGACAGCGCCCAGGCCCAGAGTTCAGGCCCCACGACTGGACCCCCCCTCCAAAAAAAAAAGAGAATCTCAGATTTTCCTGCCCAGGCTGGATTTGAACTGAGATCCTCAGATCTTAGCCTTCTTGAGTAGGTAGGATTATAGGCATGAGCCACAGGCACCCAAATTCCTTTTTGTCTTGTTTGTTCATTTATCTGTCTTTGGGAACACAAGAATGGGATACGGAAATGAAGGGACAAAGGGTAAACTAATGCAATAGTGGTACTCACTGGATGCTATGTTGAAAATGAACTATACAACTTGTGATTGGAGATGGGAGGAAAAATTGGGAGGGAGAAAGGGAACAGGGGACACTGTCCAAAAAGAAACATACTCTTTACCTGACATATAACTGTAACCCCTCTGTATATCATCTTATAATAACAATAACAGTAAATTTTAAAAAGGCCAGTCATTGCAAAGATGAGGTAAGAGTCCTCTCTGTGGTACCTCTGGGGCTCTTACTCTGGTGGGGGGATTGGATGGATGTCTAGGTTCTAGGTATAGGCTCGTAGCCTTTCCAGGCCTCACCTTTGAACCACTTGGAGTCGTGTTTTACAGTGCGCAGGGTGGGCCGGTCCCCAAGGCTGCGGTAGATGACAGCATCGATGGCTAGGAAGTCGGTCACCGTGGCTGAGAAAAGCATTCCATCTGGATCCCAGCGAGGGGGAGGGGGAGAGGAGGCAGTGGAGAGGCCCAGAGCAGTCAGTGTGGGTAAAAAAAGAGCCTGCCGTAGCCAGGCGCCCGTGGCCCTCGCCTGTCATCCTAACTATTCAGGAGGCTGAGACCTGAGGATCGGGGTTCAAAGCCAGCCCGGGCAGGAAAGTCTGTGAGGTTCTTATCTCTAACAAAAACCACTAGAAAACCAGAAGTGGCACTGTGACTCAAGCAGTAGAGTGCTGGCTTTGAGCTGAAGAGTACAGGGACAGCTCCCAAGCCCAGAGTTCAAGGCCCATGACCGACCAAAAAAAAAAAAGAGAGCCTGCTGTGACCCAACCCCTACCCAGGGGTGCGTCTGTCTCCAGGCTGAGCCAGGCACCATCCGAACACCAATCTAGACCGATTCCTGCTTCAAGATGAGTATCAAACCCAACTCTGCCTTGATATGCTGAGCCTAGATCTCTGATGAGGTCCCAAAACAGGCTCTAGTACAAACCCAGCTGAGCCTGGATCTCAGGTTGAATTACTGACCCCAGACTTTGTCTAGGCACCCCACCCACACCCCACCTCTTATCCACACCTTGACATCTGGTTGTATTCCTGGCCTGGGCCGGCCCACAGCCAGTGGACTGGTCACCCAGCTGTCTGTGCTAGGCCTGCCTGGGCCTGGCTGGCCCTGTGGTGTGGGGGTCCAGGGTTCACTCACCCGAGAAGAGGGCAACATTGGCGTGCTTGGGGTCATATGGGCACCGGGCCATACCGCTGATGTTGTCCCCCAGAGGCTGCAGTGTGTCCATCTGCAGGAGGGCCAGGCCTGAGTGACCACTCCCCTGGCCATGTCTGGAACCTCCCAGCTTCCCACTCCACGAGTTGTCCAGCTTCAGCCCAGATTACTGTGTGACCTTGTCCAGTCCCTTGACCTCTCTGGTCTGTAGTCAAGCCTGGTCAGTCCTATGACTAGCCGCTCAGGGGTCCCTTGAGCCCTATAGGGCCTCCTTTGGACAGCACTGGCTCCTGTGGAGCCTGGGGCAGGGGTAGATCCAGGAAGGCTTCCTGGAGGAGGTGGCTATGGGCACGCTCGGGCAGACTCACACTGTAATTGGCACACACGGGATTGAAGGCGTTGGAGCCGCACACGAATAGCGTGGACTCATCCCGGAGCAGCAGCACCTTCACAAAGTTCCTGCACTCGCCCTGGGGTGGGGAGGAGACAGAGGGAAGCCGGTGTGGGCGTGGTTCTATGGAAGTGGGCGTGGCTGTGGCAGAGGGAGGAGCCCGGATGGACTTAGGGCTTCCGGAGAAGGGAACGAAGCAGGGGTAGGGGTGGGGGATGTGGACCACGTCTGCACTGGGGTGGGGGGGGGAATGGGGAGGCTGGGCGTAGCTTGGGCCAGCGCCGAAGGAGTGTGACCAGGTTGGGGGCATGGTGGCGCAATGCTGGATGCAATTGGGGGCGTGGTCAGGGCAGGCTGGGATTAGCTGGGGCGTGCCCCTGGATGTGGCTGGGGGCGTGGCCTGTGCATGCTGGGCGGCAGGCCGCGGTGGGTGCGCTTGGGGGCGGGGCCTGTGCACGGTGGGCGGGGCGTGGGCGGGGCGGGGCCTGTGCACGCTGGGCATGGGCGTGGCGGCCGCGGCGGGGGCGGGGCCGCGGCGGGGTGGGTGTGGCTGAGGCAGGGCCCACTCACCTCCTGCTTGCCCTTCATTCTGCACACGTCAATGTCGTTAGGGTTGGAACGCCAGGTCAGCTTCTGTAGGCAAAGAGAGCTCCTGAGCCGGGTGGGGGGCCAGTGCCTGGTGGGCACGGCTGGGTCCACAGGGCGCCCCCCCACTTCCTCCTCTGGAGCTCCAGGCCCCGCGTCCCGTCCTCACCCGCTGGTACCGCAGCTCCGTGGAAGTGGGGGGCTCGAGCTCCACCCGGTACAGGTTGTCTCTGTGGGAGGGGCGTCGTGAGCGGGGTGGGGCTCCCCACACCCGCACCCCATCCACCCGGGGAATCTAAGACTCTGCCAGGAGCAGCCCCAACAAAGCCCCCCCCTCAGGGCCCGGTCCCCAAGTGGCCCAGGCCTGTCACACCCACGGCCCCCTCCTGGGGGTGTGCCCCAAGGGGGCTGGCACCCGCTCCTCCCCTCCCCGCTTCACCCCTGCAGGCGGTGCCTTCTCCACCCTCCCCACCCACCCCCTGGTCACCCCAGCTGGTCACCCCCTCTCCTCCACACCCCGCACGTGCTGCCGCCCGTGGGGCCACCCCCTTCGGTCAGGGTGCAGAGCTGGGGCTCTCCCTACCCCCCCACGCCTCCAAAGCCCAATCTACAACCCTGCTACACCTCCAAACCTATCTCTAGCCCACAGACTCGGTCCAGCTGGCTGCCGCATGTCCCCCCAGACCTGCACCTCCCCTGCTGAGGGCATGTCTCTGTTCATGCCGAGGCTCAGATCCCACAACCCGGGAGGAACCCCAACCCCCCACTTTTCTTTCTCCTCCTCAGTACAACCCACGGGCCAGTGCTGCAGATGCTGCCCCTCAAAAGCACCCAGAACCTTCCAGCTTCTCACTGCAGCAGACGCCAGAGGCCACCCATGGGCACCGCGTCCGGTCCCTCCCTCCTCTGCCCACTGCCCTCCACGGCTCCCACCCCACTCAGGGTCAAAGCCAGATCCTCCCCACGGCCCCCAGGGCCCTGCTCCTCCTCCCTTCCTCCCATAGGCCAGGCTCCCTCCTGCCCCAGGGCCTTTGCCCCAGCGGTGCCCTCTGCCTAGAGCACTTAGAACATTTCCCACACTGAAACAAGATTATTTAGGTCTCAAGCCAGTGTCACCTCCTCAGAGAAGCCCTCCGATTGCCTTTGAGAGTTCCCCAGTGATTCCATGGCCGAGTGGCCCCCTCCCCCAAGGACACCCCTCCGTGGCGCTCAGTAGCACCCAGCGCCCCCCATGGTCCCACCACACGGCATGCATGCAGCACCCCGGATCCGAGCTCCGTGCTCATGGGCACCCCCAGCCCCCCATACCTGTCCCCAATAAACAGCGTCCTGTTCACACGCAGCACCCGCTGGATGTTGAGGTCGTCGGCGCCCTCGGTGGGGGTCAGGCGCCCTGGCCCGCTGCCCACGAACACGGGGTAGTGGCTCAGATCTGGGAGGGAGGGGAGGAGGGAGGGGGTGAAGGAGAGGCGAGATGGGGGAGGGGAGCTGAGGTCGGGCCATTTCTAGGGGAGGTGTGAGGCCAGCATGGCTGAAGCAAGATTTCCCCCTCCTCACCCTCAACCCCCCCCTTCAACAGCCACAACTCACAATCCCGGGGGGCCACGCTGAGGGGCGGAGGTTCCTCCGGGAAGAGGCCGTGGGCCACCCCCAGGAGCAGCAGCAGCAGCAGGGCCAGGTGGGGAGGGGGCGCTCGCGGGGTCCGCATGGCGAGGGCCAGGGGGGCTGGCGTGACACCTGGGGGGAAGGGGAAGGAGAGGGGAGGGAGGGAAGGGGAGGGGAAGAGAGGGAGGAGAGGGGAGGGAGGGAAGGGAGGGGAGGGACCGTGAGCCCGCGCCTGCAGCCCCGCGCGCGGCCCGCAGGGGGAGCGCCACGGCCTGGCCAGCATTTCCCACGCAGGTAGGAATTGGAAAAAACAACCAAACTGGTGGCAAAAATTAGCTAATTAATCACTAAAACCCGACCCCACCGCCACCAAACGATGCAATGCACCGCACAGCTTCAGGACGAGGCGCGGGAGGGCCAGGAGAGCAGGAGGTGATGACAGACAGACAGAAAGGGCAGGGACGGAGCAGACCCCACGCGCAGCCCGCCGCCCCTCGGCCTCCACGCGGCGTCAGGACGCACCTGACCGGCTTGAGGGTGCCCGCTGGCCCTGGCCCGTGTGTGCTGAGGACCTAGGTTCAACCCCCACCCCACCCCTGGCCCCCAATACTGGAAACTAAAATGACAGCCAGGCCAGAGGCAGGCCTGGCTCCAGGGGCACAGCACCAGCCTTGAACAGGAAAGTCAAGCCAGCTAGAGGTCCTGAGTTCAAGCCTGGGCTCTGGCAGCTAACAACAACAAATAATAACAATGGAAAACGGCTCCTGGGAATTTTGTAGACCACCACATGGGAGTTAACGGAAACGGTAGGGACAATCTCACTGTCTTCTCAGGTCCTGCTCCCAGCCCCCCTGGGTCCCCAGCTTGGGTACCTCTGAGACGGGCGCCCCACTACCTCTGCGGGCGCCTGCTTCTTCCTTCTCCCATCGCGTGGCTGGACCTGTGGCGCCCAGCCTTCCCAGCCTGGAGGGCCTTGGCCAGGCCCCCTCCCGATCAGAAAGGAGGGGGTTCCGTCCTGGGCCTGGGGGGACCCGTGTCAGAATCACAGCGGCCTCCTGGCTCTGGGAAGTCTCCAGCAGACCCGGGACCTCAGTTTCCCCATCTGAGCGGCAGGGAGGGCTTGGCCTGGCCTTGTGGCTTCAGGGTGGGGGAACAGAGCCCCCCCCTCCCCAGGGTGAGCCGATCTCCTACGGTCAGGACCCAAAACAGGAAGACCCCGTGTGGCCCGCCTGGCTTTCCTCTCCGTGACCCCCCGGCTTCCGGGATTTGTGAGTCAGTACGGCCGGAATCCACGTGTCCTGAGCTTTCCTTACGTGGCTTCCTTCCCCGGCCCCTCGGGAGCCCCAGACTCTGCACTCTGCTTGGCACACAGAGAGGCTGACCTCTGACCCTGCCTGCAGCCTACCCTGGAGGGGGGGCTGTATGTCTGTGTGCCTTCCTCCCCCCCCCCCAGAACACCTGCCACCCCAGTGCTTGGCCAGCTCCGGCATCTTCTTTCCACAAACAGACGTCCTGCAGAACGGACCATCTGAACGGCGTGGGAGAGCGCGGCCGGCAGCAGCGCCTAAGTTCACTTTGTTGTATGGCTGTCCCTACCCGCTGCTTCCAGAACCTTCCTTCCGCCTCCGACGCTGACAGGCTGCCTCCGTTCACAGTGCGCACCCCCATCCCCTCTGCGCCCCTGGCCCCACCTCCTCCCATCTGCCACCTCCGGGGCTCGGGCACCCAGGGTGTCTGTTCTCCATGGTGGACGGAGCAGGTGATGAGAGGCCCTTCCTTTTCACGACTGCATAGTATTCCAGCCTATAGAGACCGCATGCTGTTTCTATTCTCTGTACAATGCTTGCCGGAGGGCTGACTGCTGTGACCGGATGGCTGGTGTGCAAGGCCAAGCCCCAGCTTTCAGTCCGTGTGTGCGTGTGCGTGTGTATGTGTGTGTGTGTGTGACTGCAGTGCTGGCCTGGAACCATCAATCCTCCTGCTTCTGCCTCTCTAGTGCTCATCTCAAACTAAAACTACACTAGCGGCTTTGCTCCAGAACCGAGCTGTGAGTTCGAATCCCAACTCTGCTACTTCTGTGCTGTGTGACTCAGGACAGATCTCATTCCCTCTCTGGTTTCCCCGCTCTGTAAATGGGGAAGGAGACCCTGCTCACAGGCCCGTGGTGGTGGTGGTACCAGTACAGAGCCTGGCATACAGCCGGTACCCAAGAAATGCTCATTCTTACAGCGGTCTGTTCGCATCTGAAGCAAGAGGGAGGAGCAGAGTGGGCTGGGGGAAGCCGGAAGCCCACTTTGCCGGTGGAGAAACTGAGGCTTGGGCTTGGGAGCTGTGTTCCCCGCAGAGGACGCAGCTGCTGAATGGGAAGCCTAGGGCTGGGGGACCCCAGAGGAAGGGGACAGTCCGCACCGAGGGCTGTCCTGGCCTTCCTTCTGGTCTTCTTTCCCACAGGTCCCTGATGAGGCCAGGCCCGGCCCAGCCCGCCAGCCAGCACAGGGATCTTTCCAGAAGTCAGCTCCCACCTGCCCCTCCCGGGAGACCCCACAGGATCAGCCCCTCTGGGGCCAGGTGGGAAGCTTCCCATGCACCCCTGCGCTGACCTCCGAACCGTGGGGAGGGCACAATCCTCCCCCCCCCCCGCCCCCAGCACCTCAAGGGGGTCTGGCCAACAGGGGGCGCTCAGTATACACTTCCACAGAAGAACACAACAAGCACTTATGCAGCCCTTGCATAACCACGCATTGTTAAACTCCTGTACCCGAACATGCAAGAGGCAGAGGGCTGTGCGCAGCTAGGGAAACTGAGGCACTTCCCCACAGCCCAGAAACCATGGGCCATGTGCCATGGGGGGAAGGGATGGTCTAGGCCATGCCACTGAGGGTCCATCCACGGAGCTGGCCTCAGTTTACCCTCCCAACCTGGGGTAACCAAAGGCTTCATGAGACCACGTGCCTGGGGACCCATGTGTGCACCCCTGGCAGCTGGGGACAGAGAGGCCCCTAGCCGGGCGTGGTGGCATACACCTGTAATCCCAGCTATGTGGGGGTGGGAGATTGGGAGGACAGTGGTTCAAGGCCAGCCTGGGCAAAAAGTTAGCAAAACCCCATCTCAACAAACAAGGCCAAGCCAGGCGCCGGTGGCTCCCGCCTGTCATCCTAGCTACTCAGGAGGCTGAGATCTGAAGATCCAGGTTGGAAGCCAGCCCAGGCAGGAAAAAGTCTCTGAGCCTCTCATCTCGAATGAACCACCAAAAAGCCAGAAGTGGTGCTGTGGCGCAAATGGCAAAGTTTATCCTTGAGCAAAAGCTCAGGGATGATAGTATCCAGGCCATGAGTTCAAGCCCCAGGACAGCCCAAAAAGAGAGAAGAGAGAGAGGAAGGAAGAAAGGGAAAGGAACCAAGTTTCACCTGTTGATGTTCAAGGCCCCCCTCCCAGCCAGATATGGCCGCAGCCCTGGCTCTCCCCGGCAGCCAGGCCCCACGCATGCCAGGCCTGCGTGCTCTGCCCTTCTTGGCCTTGGTACAGCCAGGCTGCCAAGTGTCACCACCTCCCTCCTCGAAGGCCCCGGCGGGAGCCGCCTCCTCCAGGAAGCCTTCTTTGACTGCCTCCATCTCCCCTCGGCCACCCCCACAACCCCCCTGCCCCGCCCCAGCCGCACGCTGACCCTGAAGTGTCCAGACCCGGGACCCACGGACACACCTTCATCCACTCATGTGATGAGCACTAGCTGAGATCCAGGCCCGGGGTCCCAGCCCCACCCTCCCCGAGACCCCAAGGCTCACCGCCTTTGCTGTGTGTCCCGGGGCCCACCTCGCACCCTCCCTGGCCCAGCTGGGCGTCCCCTCGATCCTTCAGTTCCACGCAAGGCCTGGTGTCCCCTGTGGGGATTGAGTGACCACGGCCGGCCAGCTCCGGTTACAGCTCCACTTACAGCCTCTGCCAGCTGCCTTTGCAGGCGGTCGGGTTGTCTAGGAACTTGGCGAGGGGGGGGTTCTCGGGGTGCCAAGGAGAAGCCCCGGGCCCCACCCATGACATCTCCACAAGCCTGAGGGGGTCTGCTGGGGCATTGCATCCATCCTAACTCTTTTTCCCCGGGGCCTCAGTTTCCCTACTCTCAGCCACACACACATGCACGGTCACATATCCAGCGGGCAGCTGTGCAGCCTGGGCTCAGGCCTGGCCCTCTCTGGGCTGACCTCCTCCTCCCAGGAACACAGTCAGGGCTGTGGGCTCTGGGGGGGGCTTCCTGGTCATTGCAGTGGTGGGTCCCCCAGCTTTCAGGAATGTGGGCACATAGTAGGTACTCAACAAATACCCACTGAATGACGCCCCGAGAACAGTCCTGTTTATAAAATGTGTGCATGAGCAGGGCGCTGGTGACACACACCTGTCATCCGAGCTATTCAGGAGGCTGAGATCTGAGGATCGGGGTTTGAAGCCAGCCCAGGCAGGGCAGAAAAGTCCATGAAACTCTGATCTCCGATAAACCACCAGAAAACTGGAAGTGGCGCTGTAGCTCAAGTGGTAGAGCGCTCGCCTTGAGCTGGAAGAGCTGAGGGACAGCGCCCAGGCCCGGAGTTCAAGCCCCAAGACTGGCAAAATAACCAACTAAATAAATACATCCTCCTCTGTTCTTCCCTGTGTCTGGAGCACAGTACTTAAAGAGCACCTGCTGTATACTCACAGCACCTACTATGTGTTCCCAACAGAAAGAGAGAGAGAGAGAGGGAGGAGAGGGAGGAGATGGGGGAGCTGTTGTGAGACTCCACAGGGAAGGGAAAGCAGCTCAGGCTGGGCAGGTGGCTCACTGGCACCAAGTGGCCAGGCTGGTATTTGAACCAGACCATGTGGTGGAATCCAAAAACCACACTCTCTCCTCCTCTGCCCAGCGCTCAACATCATCGCCTACCAAGTCCCCAGCTCCCACCCACCGCCGTCTTGTCCTCCTTGCAGCCGCCAGAGGGCGCCCCTGAGCGCCGAGTCCGGTCCCTCCCTCCTCTGCCCACTGCCCTCCACGGCCCCCACGGCCCCGCAGGGTCAGAGCCCAAGTCCCCGCCGCCGCAGCCCCTGGCGCCCTGCCCTGGGCCTACCTGGCCCCTCTTGGCCTCCTCCTCCTCCCTCTTCTCTGGCTAGCCAGGCCTCCTTGCTGCTCCTCCAGCTCATCAGGCAGTGTCCTGCCCGCCGGGCCTTGGCACAGGCTGCTGCTGCCCTGGGGTCTGGGGTGCTGGTTCTTTCTGCTCAGCTCTGATGTCTCCTTCCTCCTCAGCCCGCCTCCCGCTCCCGGACACCCCCACCTTCCAGCCAGGAAAGCCAGTCACAGCTTCCCTTTTTTTTTTTTTCTTCCTATGTCTGAAGCAGGATTCACACTTGGGACCCGCGGTCCCTTTGGCTCATTGGCTCACCTGAGCCATCCCTCACCCGCTCCACCAGCCACTCCTCCTACTGGACTTGCCTCCTTTAATTCAAAGGTTAGTGACTTTGTTCCTATCTGGTTGTGAATCTGACCAGGGCAGAACCGAATGAATCCGCCTCAACCATTGACATCAGATGGGGACACTGAGGCACGGAGGGATGGCCTGCGTGAGTTAGACCCACAAGTTGGAGCAGGTCTCAGGCTCCACACTCTAGAGGAGCGGCCCCAGGCACTCCGACACGACCCGTCTCCTGGCCAACTCCTATACATCCGTCCTTTCCCTAGCTGTAATGCCCCCTCTTCCATGCCTCTTCTCCCATCCGTGAGTCAGGGTCCAGCTTTCCCTACCACCCCCCGGGGTAATCCCAGGTCTGAAACCTCACTCGTTCTTTTACTGCTCTGGAACCTTCTAGGGGGATAATGCTTGATGCTCCCTGGAGGCTTCCTCTTGGGGAGTCCCACAGCCCTCTTCCAGGCAAGCCCTACCCTGCTTCCTTCCTCCCCCTGCCCCCCAATTCTCTAGCATCAGGGAACGGGGCCACACCCCAGGGTCAGCTCAGGACACCCTCCTTCCCAGAAGAGCAGCGGTGACCAGCGCGCTCTGTCCCGGGGGACTGGCTCACCTGTCCCTCTGGCTGACGTCAGGGTCACCTTTTCCAAGGGCAGCGTTTGATTGTTATCTTCCAGGTCTGGGAGCCCAGCAACTCCTCGGGCTCCTGAGCCCCACGCTGCCCTTCCTCCAGCTCCCTCCACTGCCCCTTCCCTG